GTTTGAAGTCAGAAGTCAACTGCCGATTAACAGACTTTTTGTCGTATGAGTGTACGTTGCCCAATGTGCACCACACGGAGGTAAGTCTATCGCCCACCCCACTCTCAAAAGTATTGAGCCTTATGATTCCAATCTGTTTGTGTCCTTGCGATAAACTGAGTATTTGGTTAAAACCTCCCATTCTATTTCTTATGAAACAATGAAGCCCTATTTTAACCAACTTGGCAACTTGGAATTGATTTTAGGCACAGGAATTTGGCATGACACCGATTGCTACTACCCAAATGGCAATGGTGGTCGATATTACGCGAAAGGCGCTCGATGGAAGGCATATAACGACGAATGCTCAGATTGTCAGTGTCTGGAAGATCGAAAGTATACCTGCAAGAGAGCCCCGTGCTCCTCTCTTTTTCTCTGCCCACCTGGCAAAATTCCTGCAATCGCGGCTCCCGAGGACTGTTGTCCCTCCACGTGCAAGAATGCTTCAATTGGTAAATTATCCACCTACTTCTCTAAGTCTTCTTAAAATTGCCTCTAAAGCAGACGTCGTTTTATTATAGTTCAATCAGAGGCCCTTACTAAGCAAATTACCGCTGAGGAGAAAACACCTTCGGATACTTCAAAACCAAGTGAAGATGATATTGCGGAGTCGTTTTCAGTAGTATCTCCGGGTGGTCAGTGTAAACCACTAGGTGATCTTGGATTTTCCAGCAACGAAAATTCAGCATCTTCGAATATTTTTCTCCCCTCAAAAAGTCTCGTCATAATTCGCCGTTCTTGTGTCAGCCTCAAATGTGTCTGCTCCTCAGAGGGCAACTGGGTGTGTGCAGACTACTGCATTCCCTGTGAGGGTGTCTCAATTCACAGCACCGATGACTTATCTATAAATGCATTTCTACTTGTTCGATCACTTACAGCCGACGGCTGCTGTCCGAAATGTAAGATATTAGACCTACTATTTGATATTAAAGTAGAAATGATTAAATGGAATATATATTTCAACAATTTTAGGTTCAGAGAAAACAGAGGCTACACCCTATTTCACCGAAAGATATTCAATTGCAATCACCTGCTTCTTGGCCCTTCTTGCACTTGCACCCCTCTTTGTGATAGCATCTTGTTGTTTATACCTGCGATACCGGAAAAAGCTAAAAAAACTACGAATTTTAGGACACAATCACCCAAATAAATTCCAATTAGACAACAGAACGCCTCAAGAACCCATTGTGGCAGCAATAACACATTCGACACAATCCAGTTATGCAATTCCATTAACGATCTCAACTAGTCCAGACGAGAAGAGTTCCACACCTCCAATTCGACTAAGAATTGTGTCAACAGCGTTTGCAGATCATGATAGTTCCCACGGATCGTTGCTCTTTAACGATAGATTAGAGCAACCATCTTCATCTCTTCCTAAGTTCTGGTCACTAAGTGCATCTTATAACTGTCTTTCTAATCCCCAATTAAACCCCAAAGATCTCAGCATCCCTAATTTGGAGGACACCACAATGAGAAAATCCCAGACAACTTCCTCTACTACCGGCTACAGTGTTAATTGCTCGTCGAAAGTCTTAGCAAAAGTCGTTCCAGCCCAGCTCACTCCCCAAAACGATAGTCCTGTATCGAATTCCCCCACCCATTTACGAAAATCAGAATCTCCCGAACCCAAAAGAAGCTCCGACTGGAAGACCCGTCTTCGAAGAAGCTCAACACAACCGAGAACCCATTTTTTCCCTCAAGCATGGAAAACAATCCTTTCCAAATCCGCGAAAGCCACCACACCTACAGCCAATCAAGAAGAGGCATCTTTCTTTAGCCAGCCAAAATCTAACCTATCAGAATCCTTTCATCAGCTCATTCAGACACGTAATACTCCACCTCTAGAAATAACCGATGTCGTGTAACACAGCTCACTCTCTCTCTGTCTACTTATTATCCGCATTTTACATTTGCAAACGCTATTTTTGTTGCTTTCAGCGTTTCACTGAAACTGCGTTGTCATCTCACCGAATTAAGATACCTCCCCATCCCCACATATGCACGAATTGGCAAACAAAATATTCATTTTTACCAATTGAGAACTTGAATGGTTCACTCTCCCCCCACAAATCTTGTACACTCTGAAAGTCGCTTATACTCACAGTAAAAGAAAGACAGATAACGCAATTCAGTGTTTCGAGTTTTTTCTACTGTTTTTTCTTTTCAGGAAATAATACAATAGTATATAACAAGGAGAAGAGGGAGAAATGACTTATTAATCGATGGACCTCAATGATTGATGGTAGGCTTCAACTCGACTAACCCAAGTTTGGAAGTAATGTTCTAAGGTAACCTCGTCAAGAATCAGAACATCTGCAGGATAGCCGTCAGCGTACGCGTAGGCTATTAGACCTTGCCGTACCTTAAGACAAAGAAATGCGGGTTATCGATGAGCAAACCTCGTTAGGAAGTTGATAAGATTAAGAAATTAACCTCAGGCATATCGGGGGAACGAGTAAAGTTATAGGCTCCCGCATAGGCGGCTACTTGCATAGGGGCGTCGTAAGCCTTTTCCAAACTTGTTACACGTTTGCTCTCATGGACTGTCTTCCATTCGGTTAGAACGTATCCGCTCTCACCCACACTAGGAACTCTGTAAATGAATCGAAATGAAAAAGCCTACTGAATATGCAATAAGTAGAATGCCATTCGAGTTTGGCTCGGTGCAAAAAAAAGATTTAAAGATTAAAGGATAACATTGTCACTGGTGAAATCATTGTCTAGATTAATGACTCCTAAAACATAAAAGATGACTTAAGAAGTAGGAGATGCTAAGATATAGCCGTCTAAACAGATTTGGCATTTAGTTAATTCCGCAAATCGAAAGCAATTCATTGGTAGTAACTCAAAATTGCTCACATTAGAAACTTCAAATCACTTTATTCAGTTCATTTCCTACTAATAATAAAATAAATGTTAGTCTAGATAGCCCACCATTTCTAAAACTGAATTTAATAGAAGTCTTGACATTATCCGAAATTACTGAATGAAAACTCACTTAAAGCTATTAATGCTGTCTAAACGACCTCGATATTTAAGTAGTGGGTGGAAGCAATCCTTTTCAACTAAATGAGTTGCTTTAACATGGGGTAAAATTGTCCCCAAACTGCGAACATATCCATCAATCGGTTCGGAAAAATCTTCGATCCGTCTTTGACCCTGAATGATATCACAGATAGCTTGATGAACATCTTTACCCAGCCTCTTTACTCCTACAATACATTAAAAATTCAACATAAGAAACAAAATTAAATGCTGGTATGTTAACTTACGGGCAATGTAATCGTTGAACTCCTTATCGCCCATTTGCTTCCGCATTTTCTCTTGCCATTTGCGAAGAACCATGAGATTTTCGACAGGCATTGTTTTGCTGATTATGGTAGAAACCGTCGGAAACTTTCTGGACATGTAAGCTGTGTTTTCTGAAATTTCAGAAATTGGTCCTCCAAAAACAGATATATAACGATGGGATTGGTGACAGAGAACGAGATCGACGACCCTGTTTAAAATAGCTTTCGTGTGAGCAATCATCAGAACCTACAAAACAATTTGGGTCTCCATGCGAGTCAATTATAATTTAGGTAAAAAGGCATTCATCTCTGTTAAAGCATACCGAAATTTTTTTAGAAATATGCGTTAAAAACAAATCAGCAACTATTTGCTAGCAGAACAGACAAATCGATCAACGAATCAAATAGCTAGTTAAAATATTTAAAAATTCGGCAAGGTTAAATTATCTTTCAAAATATTTTTTAATGATTTATTTCACGCCTTGATAATCAAAAATATTTTATTTAATAGATTTAATTTTAATACATTTATTTGAAAAAATTTGAGATTTTACTCTCAATTAAGTCACGTTATTGTCAAGATTGAGTGTTTCTCTACGTGAGCGAATATTTTTACTTTAATTAGAAGAATTCAAGTGCTGTAAATCATTCCACTTCGAACAAAAAAATATTAGGAGCTAATTATAATTGATTGCAACCTCGAATTTACATTGAACTAAAAATGGCATATCTAATATTTTGGCGGATGAGTCCGAATTCAAGCCTATGTAATGGTTTATAGAGCTAAATGGCTAAATCAGATGCTCATTACTAGATTTTACACAGCCAATTTATCATTTTCATTCAATAAGACCTAGCAGTCATACATTTTAACACAAGAGAGCATTAATCAGATTCGGAAGGTGAGGTTGCCTGAAAGTACTTTAAAATTATGCTGGGAATCGACATTAGAGGTAGCCACTTTCATAATTAACATGAGCTGGCTTTGACTTATATGTGGGTTAATTCATATATAACGAATTATTATGGCAATTGATTCAATTTGCTCATTACTGGCTTGAAAAATTATCTCCAACAATAATGATAAATCTGCAAGGTCTGTAAATAATTACCATGTGAGTGACGAAAATTATTGGAATCAATAAAATAAAAGTTGCAACAGATTTAAATAGTGATATAGAGCTTCTTGATTGATTAAAATAAGCGAAGTGTTTTACGCTTTTTATAAGTTCGATATCAGATATTCGATTTACTGGAAAAGTGAAATAAAGTGGATTCTAAATGATTTCCCATTTCGTGTAGTAGTTCGTATTAAGTTACACGACTTCGTTTCTCTTTAACATCATTTTCTGGTTAAATTTGTACAATATAAATGAATAAATAAATTATTTTTTCCAATGGTTATTTATTGACTGACATAACCCTCCCTTAACCTACATTATTTTCTCTTTTTTTTGGTTAGATATAAAAAACAGATTGTATTCGCTGATATTTCACTAACCACGAATGCTATTGAGAGTTTCTCCCATCCTTAATATGAACAAAACATTTTCGGACTTGCCAATTAATTTTTCAAGGCTCAAATATTTTGAGAACTGACGCAATATATTTGGAGGTGAAAAAAGTTAGTTTTGACAAGAAAGTAAGTATATTCTCACATTCCATAAAACGACACCTTAACATGACGATTGCCACAATTTTTGTCATATAAAAATAATTTTTTACAAGACATAATGCTAAAAGTGGTTAAAAATAGAATGAATAATAAAACCAGAATGGTAAGATTTCTTACTTTCTACATTAGAGTGAGGGGCGAGGGAGAGACTTACCTCCTCGTGGTGCACCCTGGGCTAAAAATTCTACAAAATCGACAATTGACTTCAGACTTCAAACTACCATCACCCAACTCTATGTCATATTCCTCCACCTCCACAGTACTCACTTCAACTTACCCTTTTCTCTACTTTTGTGTCTGCCTCTCTTTAACAACAGTGAATCACTCTTCTCTTCCCTCTCTTCACTTTTTGTGACGTTGTCAGTTCCTAGAGTTTTTCCTGTGGGAAATGAGTATTCAAACAGTTTCACGTTTGATCTGTTGACATGCCACACCATTGGTTGAATATCGATGGCCTCTATGAACATCAGCAATCTCTTCGGTTATTGGCTCGAAATATACGATTTAATTAACAAATTAACTAATGCACGGTAAATGTTTGACTACACACTGTCTAAAATATTTATTCTATTTTTATATAAGCCAAAATATTTACCAAGATATTTACAATTTACCCAAAACAAATAATCATTTTGTTGACTAATATTTCATTCGGAAAGTTCTATTGCCAAATTAGGTTAATTTCTTGAAGAATTTTAATCACCAGCACACATAGCCTCCACCATCTCCTTTGAACCTTTAACGGTGAAATTTCTGAACTATTGGAAGGAAATAGAAAGGAAGGCAAAAATCCTCGGATAAGGTTTTCGAAACCTCAATTTAATTCATTTCTCTGTGGCCGAATGTTTGTTTGAACTTATTTCACAGGTAAGTTGTGATTTGCCTTCCTTGGGAAACTAGCTTCGCGGATATGTATCTAAGTTAATCTGGGACTAGCAATCTCAGAAGATTAGATACCTAATGTAAAATACTTTATATTAAAGTGAGAATGGACTTTAGGAAAGTGTTTTTTTCTTTAACCAGGATACTAAATAGATCTTGGAATACCCTTAATCGAATTAGCTCATATCCTTCTATTCATTTTATTTGACTGCCATCACACTTTGACTTTCAGTACACCGATACAGGGTGTTCATAGGAAGTTCTAGAGAGTAGGTGCCTTCCAGCTGATGCCCTTACATCAAGATAATTCGCTTTGTCCATCCAAATTAAGGAGAATATGGTCGTTGTTCAATGTTTCATAAAAAAACACTGTAAGAAAAATAGGAGAAATCCAATGACAACTCTGAGACAAGAAGACGATCTGATTGTGTTTAGCGTAGGAAATGTGCTATGAGAGTGTTGGAGCATATTGGCATTGGAATTCATGTGGCTTTGTCTCGACAAATTATTGAATGTTTCAGCCTCTACCACGAAGCATGTTCCCAATGAAGATCTTTGCCACTACAAGTATTGCAATGGTCAATTTTTCACATGAAATGCGCTCAAAAATATCCTGACAAAGGCGAATAAACTTCTTAGTGAAGTGCGGCAACCTGCTGGCAAGCAAGAGGATCAATAGGATGCCAGCTGAATTTGAAATCGATTGACCTGCAAAAAAGTTCCAAGACCCCCCCCCCCTTGAGGCTTGCAAACTAAAGTTGTGGAAATGGTCATAGTTTTCGGCTGTGTCCTCCCAAGGTGACGTGATACCTCCAGCTATGGTTTTAAAAACGGGGTTAGTTCGAATTTAGATGCCTGTGTGGAAATGCTGTTTACATAAGACCAACCAGTTTAGGATCACTTGCATGACGGCGGTCGGATATGACCCTCTGCCACACCTCAGGGAAAAGGCAAAGTGATTATGAATCCACATTTATGATTTTGTCAGTCCAAGTTTCAGGCCCTGTGCAATCCACTGTGTGGGAGCATACCGAATAAGGCATTTGCCGAATGAATGCTTGACGGGTCGGAAGATCGCACGGGCCCGGATTGAGACTGGAATAGACATTAATGACAGACTTAGACTTACCTCCACGTGGTGCACCCTGGGGAACGTATACTCATACGGCAAAAAAGTCTGTTAACTGGCAGTTGACTTCTGACTTTAAACTCCATCACCCCACTGTATGTCGTATTCGACCCTTTACACAGTACTCATCTCACCTTTTCTCTGCTCTTTTGTCTGTCTCTTTTACCTCTGTGACTCATTATTCTGTCCCCCTCTCGACTTTTTGTCACTTTGATGTTCCTCCTCCTCTCTGTGAAGCCTGAAGTCAGCTAAATGGGTAAGAATAACTATCAAAACACCTGCCATTTGAAGCAAGTAAGTGGTACATTAATGACTGCTATTTGAGGTAAAATTATCTGCCAGTAGTCCCATAGCCTTGTGGCTGAAATTCACTTGATGTCAATTGAATGTTTTAGATGATAACCTCGTCTCCTTTATTCCTGATGAGACTGCCTTTTTCTTCTTCTCTATTGAGCCATCTGCTTTTAAGCAAATTGTTTGCAATCAGGTGGGGTAATGCTAAGGAGGAAAGTGAAGTTAATTGCATGAGCCACAGAGAATAGAGTTGAATAAAGCTAAGGAGCTTATGTAAACACCTCTTGGAGAACACACCAGGCACAAAAGTTTGTCATCTTATTGGAGGTAAGCAGAATATTTTATTGTCATAACCAGTAAAAACTGATCTCAGTGACTGCTTTGACTACAATTACCTTCCTAGATTTAAATTTAAAAGAAAAAAAAACAATTTTAGATGATATATGAAAGAAGAAAGGGATGATAACTAGTTCTAGCAGGTTCTGAAACTTCGTCAAAGCATCTAATTCGATTCTATTGGAAAGATCTATGAAATAGCAAATCTCTGTATCCATACCTAATCTATTCCTCCTAAGTTTTAGCGTAGCAAGGAGCTCGATGAATTCGGTGCTTAAACAAAATTGCATATCAAAAAATGAGGGGAAGTAGGAATTTTGATTGATCTCTATTTACTAAAAATCTATTGATTAAAGGTCAGATTTCTATTAGTGCAAATCGTATTATTTTAAAATGGTTTGTAAAAGTAACCCAACAGCTTAAGTGAATAAGTTCTTTTACACGAGTTTATGATACATTTAAATATGTTTTCAAGTAATTAATACCATTTTTAAAACACGGAGGTAAGGATACTTTAAAGGTTAAAAATTGATTTAATTCGGGAAATTTAGATGCAGTTGAAGAAAGCAAGTGATTACAAAGTTGTATTGACTGATATTTGCAAAGAAATTCATCCCAACCCTATCGCGCACTCCCATTCCTTGCAAAATCAATACTTCAGTATTGATTTCATCTAAAGTAGAACTTGGGAATACAAAAGGGAGAAAACAAGTCGCTTTCAGCCAACTCTAATGCAGGAGGTAGTGGAGGG